GGAAATTCAGTGTCTCCCCCGAAATACTTTTTTCGTGCGATGCCCCTGACTGTAGGTAAAATTATTGGGTGGAAAGAGTGACCCTCCCCAGGCACCAGATACCCCTCCCCCACCCGCCCCTACACCACGCGTCGTCGCAAAGTAAGCAAGGCAGAATGATATTGTTTGTTATCAGGAACTGTCATCACTTTCAGTATGCTCAGTTTTAGTTACCATACGCTTTCTAAACAAATCTGTTATCAAGCTTTGCTATGCTGATGCTTTCCTCTTAGACATTGTGAACACATCATCACTGAATAACAAGTAACACATAGAACACAGGCAACAAGCACAGGAAAACGTGCCAGACCCAGAACAGTCTGAGCGGGAACTTACAGCGCATGAGCGGCAGTGTTGCCAACCTAATATGATGACTTTCCACGTAATTGCCACTGGAAATCCCCGATTTGATTCGCAAAGATTATGAAACTACCCGCAACAATTTCTGATCCACCCTCTGTGAACAATGTTCATTATGGAGTAGGTTATTCGGGGGTTTTTTTTTCCTTTATGGGGGGGGGGGGGTTATCTATAGCCACTGCTATAACCAGTGGCTTCATCACTACTGGGCTGTCAACTCTCAATCCTGATGACATAGATTTCAAGAAGCTGGTGAAGAACAATAGTGGTTTACAAAAAAACCCTACAGCCAATGGCTAATGTTGCGTAGCCACCTGACATATATTGAGGACAAAATTGGGAAGGAGAGACTTAAGACCTTCCAAGACAACAACGTCAAAATAGAAGACAAATCTCTCCATGGAGTGTGGTTGGAGATAAAAAAAGAAGTCTCCCTCTACAAAGAAGGACTTGATGGGATGCCCAATGAAGAGAGATAACCTGAGGTTAATCCACATGGTATAGAAGTTGCAAAAGAAGAAGAAGAAAAAGAAGAAGACGTGGTAGAGGCGTACGTAACTGCCGATGGGACGGAAGTGGCTGTTGACTTTCTTGTGAATGAAGATATTAGTTTCCCTATCGAACTTGAAGTGCCGGTAATTACAGTAAAAAAAAATACACATAACAAATCAACCCTGCATCAAAAAATCCACTGTTGAGACAATCGACAAACCCAGATTTATATCTAAACACCGAACCATCATGTTCCCATCTTGATACCACAACCTCTTCTCCGATTGATATTCCCTCTCCCCTCTCATTCAACCTATCCAACTTATCAAACCAATCTTTTCTTTTAAACCTAAGCTCACCTGCCAATTTCCCACAGACCCCTAATTCGTAGTGTGACCAAAACTCCATAATGATCCCCCCGGAAACACCGAATCAATCCTCACCCAAAAAACCGACCTTGACCCCGCAAAATATGAAGGCAAAAATGACGACAACATTTAAAGACGCGCTTTACTGGCCTGAACAGAAGCCACCAAAATCAAAAACCATCAGGAATAGACTAAAATTTCCAAGCGCGGCAACGTCTGCGGATGGAAAAATTGGAAAAATTTCTATCAGCAAAAAGAAGAAGATAAATTAAGAACAGAAAAGGAGAAGGAGGAAAGGAAACGATTGCGGGAAGGTAGACAAAAAGCAAGAAAGGAAATGGACGAATTGAGGGCTAAAAAAAAGAGAAGATCTGATTACGAGTCCGAAGAAGGCGACGACGTTGAGGAAGACCTAAAAGGAGTGCACGCCCTAGAAGAATCTCCCGTGGAAGAGACACCTCTGCCACTAGATCTAGACAATCTCCGACAAAGCCAGTGGTTAGTCGTGCCATATATGAACAACGATGAACCGAAAAATATGTGGGACAAATTTTGTCAATTAACGGCAAAGGAAATGCAAAAAGTGTAACGGTTAAGTTCTTGGAAAAAAAGAAGTTCAAGTGGCCAATCAACGATGATGTGGACAATGTTCCAGTCAAGGAAATAGTACGCATATTAAGAGAACCAAACTTCGACCGATGGGGCTACCTGACGTTAAGCCTACTGACTTTTCATCATTTTAATGTGTTTTTCCATCTTCGTAAAATCATAGATCAAACATAACTATGTTTTATCTATGGTAAAATAATCCCTTGCATGTATGTAAATTTTTTTTTTTAGATGTTCAAATTATTCCTTTGTTTACCTATTTCTAGTCCCATTAATTGTCTTGTTGCTCAGTTTTATGCATGTGGATTTTTATTTATTTCTAGTCGCTTAATGTATTTTGTGATTTGTTTTAAGCATGTAGATTATTTATCTTTTAGGCGTTGTTGTATATTGTTTTCATTAGTAGGCTAAAGCAGTCGATGTCATCACTGGGTTCTCAGTTTTTCAGTGAGAGTCGCGCCTATTCAGTTTATTATACACTACGTACAATACAACACTTTTTCCCCTTGCTGTGATGGGGCATCCTCAGTGGTAAAGCTGCGACTAGAAGGACAGGGTGAATCATTGTTATTTTACTCATACTATGGCATGTGGGAGAGGAGTAATCTCGCCAGGCAATCCATGGAATGTGACCTCCCTGCATGAGTCATGTACATTCCAGGGACTGCCTCTAAGGGAGATTAAAACCCCCTCTCACATGCCACAGTATGAGTAAAATAACAATGATTCACCCTGGCATTCTAGTCTCAGGTTTACCACTGAGGATGCCTCATCACAGTATGGGCAAAAAGTGTGGTGTTATACGTAGTGTAATATAAAGTTTAAGTCTGTTTTGGTTTGGTTAAACTTCATTAATCTAATCTAAATACCGATACTTACTAATCTAATTTTTGTTCTTTTGTGTACCTATGCATAATTTATTGTCAAGTTAGGTTCTAAATTTGTTTGTTTAAAATGAAGTACAGCATGTGTTCATGTAAATATTAGGCCTAATCTTACTACTGTATCTATGTTAACTAATTTTGTTTCCGTCCTTGTAAATTTATGATTTGTTTATTTCTTACACTTAAAGCTAACGTTCAGCTCTCTTCTATCTATGTAAACTAATTTGCTTCCGTCCTTGTACATTTATGATTTGTTTATTTCTTACAAAGCTAACGTTCAGCTATCTATGTAAACTAATTCCGTTTCCGTCCTTGTACATTTATGATTTGTTTATCTCTTACACATAAAGCGTTCAGCTATCTATGTAAACTAATTTCGTTTCCGTCCTTGTACATTTATGATTTGTTAAATTTTTTTTACACATAAAGCTAACGTTCAGCTCTCTTCTCTGTGTACTTATTTCCTTTCTCTATGTAATGTATGCAGTAACAGTAGCATTTTGCTGTGTGATGTGCTCTTCTGCCCCAGCAGACTAAATTGAAGGTTTGGTAGCTTACGTAAAGTTTTCTTCTTGTGTTTAGTTACTTTTTAGTCATAAAACAGCTGCCAAACACTATTTTTTGGTAGGTTTTACTAAGTCACATCACAGACTTCGGAAAAAAAATCACGGCATTAATTCCGTGAATCACGGAGTTAGGCCGTGATGATGAAATGAGGCCTACGGGTATTTTACTTATTAAATATTTTGTTTATTAGTATTCATTCAAACATAGCCACATCGTTTTGTTCAGGAATTCATAGGAGAAAAAACAGTATTAAAACGTTTCATCTTAAATTCATAAAATTTTGGTAAAACTAAAAATGTATAGCAACATCCCTTAAGGTCACGGTATTTGGGCAGTTTACCTTATACAGTTTTTTTTTTATGTTCAAGACATAGAAAACTTGTCATAAAAATTTTGAAAGTGTTCTTAAACGGTTTGCGAATAATTAAATTTTTTGGTCGCACAGGCACTGCTTGCGCATTTTTGATATCGTTATTTCATTGTGTTTCACCCACTATTTAATTGTGCAAAAACAGTCTGGAAGTTGCATAAATTAATGAGTCGGTTCATTATAACCTAACCTTTACCTTCCTAATCTAACCTCACTTCAAAACACTTAATACAGTCACGAATCCGCATAAAACCCAACCTACCTTCCTCACATGCCTAAATAAGAACTGATTAGGCCTATTTGGTTTCAAAAATCAAAACGAATTGATTTGATTTCATTCCGCATTAGATCAAGTATAAACAGTTGTTTGCTCTTCTCACTCAGTCCTCCTCACTCCTCACTCAGTACGGACCCGTCCAGTCCAAACTACGCCATATTACCATTACCTTCAATACCGCTCAATTATCCTTAGATTCGTAATCCTAACCTTCGTTTTACGGCAACTTAGGAATCTCTCCGACCAAAACTGATTGCATTTTTGGATTCAGCGTTAAAAATACTGTAAGTAGACATATAAAAATAACATCATATCCCAATGTAAATAGCCTACAGTAAATAGGGTATTTGCTAAACTGTAAACCTAGCCAACTGGTGTAGTTATCTACTTAGCTAGGCCTGGGCTAGAGATTACCAGTAGATAGGTAGGCCTAACTTATCAGCCACAGAAAAGCATGGGAAAAACAAAAATTTACAATGACTTTAACTTTTGCCTAGTTTGTGAATGAACGTTTCATACTAAGTACAAAACTTCAAGGTAGGTAGGCTAAACTTGGTCTAACTTAGTACCGTAGCTTGACTGCACACTAATAAGCCTAGCCTTAAGTTAAGTTTAACTTACTTGACATTTAAACAACAATTAAGGCTAGGATGGGTAAGTTAAGCCTAATTTATTTGGAAATGTTAGCCCAGGAACTAGGCTTAGCTTAGGGTAGGCTAGGCTAGGTTATGCATTCTATTTTCAGTTATTTAATTCGGGCTCCTTTGGCAGCTATCCTATCTAGGACATAGGCCTACTTCGGTCAAAAACAAACTACAATGAGCCTGCCAGCCTGCCGCAACCGCGGTAATGCATTGGCCTTGGATTGAAGTCTGGTCAATTGTTATTAAACTGAGTCGTTAACATGTTAGTATAAATTGTTAGTAAAGTAAGCTTAGGTAATTGGCATTTTGTAAGTTAAGTAAAGAATGAATACGAAATGATAAGTTAAGTTACTGCTGTAAATTACCGGCTCAATGCCGCAAGAGGAATACCTGATAGACTTGTTCCTATTTCTGACGGTATTTTGTCTGGAAATAGGCAGCTCCATACAGTTATAAAATGTAAAACGTAAAAATACAAAAGGAACACAAATACATGAAATAGCCAAAATTGTTCCCAATGAAGTAAAACTGTTTACCTTTAACAACTCGGAAAATGGCGGCACTAGTACAACTACAGCACCAAACCAACACCACAGACCACACCGTCACACCACAATGCTTTATTAGCTTTGTTTTTTTTTACTCTCTAGTGCTTCTTCACTGCGACAGCTTCCTTCCTTCCATTCTCCCTCTCATCTCAAGTCGAATCCACAGTCCACAGAATAACTGCTTTGAAAGTACACTATATTAAATAGTATCTTATCGATTGTTTCTGATCATGATTAAAGAAAGATCTACGGATGTTTTAACCAAAATAGTATTAACTGGTATCAATTGATTGACACATTTCTGTATTTGATAGCCATGAATGGTAGGAATGCGCTGAGCTTGATATTGCATTAATGGGGGTTTCAATTATTTACATACTCTTGTTGTCTTAAGTCAGTAAGTGGCTTTTTGATGGTTCGAAACTGGACCCAGCTGTTCCTGATCATTTGACTTTAAATAAATTATCCTGACTAATGAAACCGCTGATCTTAGTCAGTAACAAAGCTAAGTCAGTAACACCGCTTGCGGTGTTTACACTGTCGTGGGGCCACGGCTAAAGTCAGGCGTGTTACACGCCGCGTGTAGGTGAAAACTGTTTACACTACACGAGTACACGCCTGATTGTGGCCGTGGGACGCTACCGTGGCGCCACGGCATTTGCGTACGGCTAGTGATGTGACGAGTCGGGTCCTACTTTCCTGACTCGAGTTACTCGACCCGCCAACTGCCGTGAACGAACTCGAGTTACGAGTCGAGTCAGACTCAACTCGAGACGTTCCGAGTTCGTGTGAGTTCGGCAATCTCCGTACGAGTTCGTTAGTTTTGCGAGTCGGCCGTCTCGGTACCGGCCAATAGCGTGTCAGCTTTACGAGTCGACTCGACTCGACCAAGGCCGCACTAGATACTCGACTCGAGACGTTCCGAGTTCGTGTGAGTTCGGCATTCTCCGTACGAGTTCGTTATACAATCGAGTGAAAATAGGTCAACAATGAATGGTGGTGTCCCCTTATCTTTATCTAGCACTATTTTGAGATTATGGCCTTAGTTTGTAAATGCACGATGTTATAATGGACTAAAAATCTATCTAATATATAAAATTCTCGTGTCACAGTGTTTGTCTGCAAACTCCTCCGGAACGACTTCACCGGTCGTTATGAAATTTGGTGTGTAAATTCTGTAGGTATGCGAATCGGACGTAAACTATTTCCCGTTTCGAAATTCTTAAAAGGGCTCCGCCCCAGTGGCTCTGGAGTTTCCCATGTTAACCTTATGAGAAATGGAATTAATGAATCTTAACAGCTGTTTCAACTAAACAAGTTGGTTCTGTTCTATGATGTTCAATAGCATTAAAGTTACAAGGATTACCAACAGGGTGCAGCACTATTATTTCTTTTACATTTATGACAACAGCTAATTTGCAACCAAAAGGTGCGTGAGCGTAGCGAACGAACTTCAACCTGGAGGCGAGTGAGCGTAGCGAACGAGCTAACCTGAAGGCAAGTGAGCGCAGCGAACGAGCTCCAACCTAAAGGTGAGTGAGCGTAGCGAACGAGCTCCAACCCAAAGGTGAGTGAGCGTAGCGAACGAACTTCAACCAGGACGTGATTGAGCGATGCGAACGAGATCATCTTGAAAATTAAACGTAACGGTACTTTCTTTCCATCGGTCTGTCTTAGGGGAAACCTATAACTTAGGCGATACGAAGTTCGCCGGGTCAGCTAGTAAAGTTATAAAAAATTCTCATAACTTAAGAATGGATCAACATTTTTTTTAACGGATTGCAGCATCGCATTCAGCGTAAAAGTCTTGTTTGAAACGGTGGGTCACAACCCTACCTTTACATTTGAAAAGATAACTTTGTATCCAATGTGGCGGATCCAAGATGGCGGCTAAAAATTTAAACCCAGTCAAAATGAAGTACTTGCTACTCTACAATGATCTGACGTGGTTCGGAGTTGATATATTAAGAAATGTATAAACAAGTAGGAGGGGAACTCATTTAAAACTCACCCTGTATGAAACAATTCACAATTATTTTCCTCATAATTTTTTTAGTTTTGAACAGCCCCCATTTTGAAATGAGTTGATGAAACTTGACCATTTTCAACCCAAGCCGAGATAATGTATTCAAGCACTTGTGTGCCAAATTTCATGAAAATCGGTTCAGGCATTCGGTCGTTATAGCTAATTCATGGGGACCCAGCATCCTCTTACGGCCGCCATTTTGATGACGTCATTACGGACGACCGAGGTCCTTAAAAATTGGGGTCTGGGCGGTTTTAGGTTCAGAAACTTGTATACTATAACCACCTAAAATTGCAGCTTCTCCGCCAGAACTGAAATATTCTGCCACAATATGCAGCTATACGACCCCACTAGTAATATTCTGCCTATAACTATGTTTTCTATAGTAAAGTAATGGTACAGGTTCAGCAGAGGCCTACATATAGGCGAACAAGGCGGTGCCTGGGGCCCCACGCTTTCCAGGGACCCCGCTCACCCGTATTTCAGTTATTAAGAGAGGCCCGCTATTGAACTTCGCCTTGGGCCCCTGGAATCTCTGGCTTTCAATCTTGACATCAATGATCTCTGGCATCAATGCCAAACATGCCAATGTTTTTGCAAAAAACTAGATTGTTCGATGAATTAAGTCAGTAGCTTGCTACCAGCAAAATAATGGGGTTGAATGTGGATTATATGTTTTACTAAATAACAAGCTAATATGGTACTGTTTTTGTTCTGTATATGACAGTAATTATGACTTTTGGGAGTGGTTTCAACCATTGTTTTTACTGTATTCAGATCGAAACAATCTGTTAAAGTAACTAAAACAAATCAAACAAACCTAGCGGAGCAACAAATTTAGAGACAAGTGCTTCTAAACATTTAGTGGCAAGACTAAAGAAAGTCATCTCAAAAAGCTGGAAGGATATGAAATCAGGGTTGCCACCATAGTGGGATGATAAAATTCATGCAGAATTCATGGTTTTCATTGGTGGTTTAAAAAAATTCATGGTCGATGCCTTATACAATTTCAACACAATTGAGTTTTGCTGATTTCATAAACTGACGTTAAAGAGGCAGTTTCTTTTTGTGTTGCATTTGAATAACCCTTCATACCTAATATAGTGAGTGATTTACAAACATTCAAAACAAAGTTGAAAACAAAACAGGTCCAGCTATTCTACTTGAGATATTGGAGAAGTATTGTAAAATATATTAAGTCTAGGTCTAATTCAGTCTTTCCACCGGAATAAAACAAAAACCCCACTCACCCAGCCAAAAAAGTCTTGTTTTATCCCTTTACATAATTGTCATGAAATGTACATTATGGTTTATCATAATCCACAACATATTAAGATATGATAGTTTTATCCAAAAAGCTAAAAAAATCAGGCATCAGAGTAGGAAATTAGGGTTTTTTGCGCACCCTGTTTCAATTCAGTGCATGGTCTAAAACTTCTGTTTTTTGTGATTTAAGTCCATACGTGGGGGTAGGCCTACGGATGATTTTTTCGAACCATCCTACAGTCCTCGGGAGGTCTCAGCTGACATCAGCATCTTTGGATAACTTGAAATAAACTAAGCAATTGTTTCTGATCATGGAACATGTTAAATAATCATCTCCACACAGTATTTTTATGGTGTTCGTTTCTATGGACTGTTTTTAAAATATGAAATATTTTTTATTTGGAAAATTTAATGGTACTGGTTGAATAATTGTTCCTGATTTTGAAAATTCATGGTCCATTGGAGAAATCCATGCCTTTTTTCATGGTCACAAGAATTCATGCATAATTCAAGATTTTCAAGGTTTTCATGGCTGGTGGCAACCCTGTAAATATAAGAGCCAAAAACACAAAGTTTCCTGATAAAATCAATGCTCCTACCATTTCTCCCCTTGGACTAAGCACTTCCAACAGATTCTCCATCCTCGGTGACCTATGTCTGGAGAAACTTCCACATGAGAACACAAGCCCAGTACAATCCTACCATAAATCCTGCCATAACTCCAGGATAACTGTGAAGCATCAAAATCCAAACAAAAAGAACAAACGAAACCATTTCACGGTCACCTCTTCCAAAATCGCTAAAAAACCTTACCTGTAGCTCCCTATACAGCCATTTCAACAAAAACTCCATGTATTAAAATTTATGGCAACAGTATGCTATAAATGCCGCAAACATTATAACTTATGACTTTGGCCTAAACAGTAAATTTAATGTATCTAGTACTGTCATTCCTAATGCTAAGATGGAACAGGTATTAGCTAGTGAAAATAAAGATAGAGGCCTTTGGCAAGGAAAGTGTTGATGTTATTGTCGGTGGGACAGTGGTATAAACAATATTGTTAACTCTGGATGTTGTGACGATTTTGATTCTATATTGAGTTCTTTCTTTAGTGAGGTATACCAAACAGACATAACAAACCTTCCTTAAATAGTGCCATATCCTCAGTCCATTCACAATTAATATCTCTTTCACACACTTACAAAAATGTTACATTCATGCATGTTAACTCTTTTTCCCGTCAATTATACATCCGGCACGGACTACACTTGAACCATAAGGGGAAACTAGCCTTAGCAAAACTTCTGGCAAATCTTTTTTAGGAGAAGCCTGAAACCCTCCCAGGGTCCCTTGGGCACTTTTCCTCAGCCGAGGATTAGGAATCAGCGTTTGAGTATAAAATTTCTCCACCAAAACATAAGAAGCCTCTTTTCTAAGACGGACGAGCTCGAGTTATTAATAGGGGATGAGTCTCCAGTCGTCAAATGTCTGACCGAACATTTTCTAAACAGCAATGAAATTGTTAATTCAAAACTGAATAACTATGGCTGCAAATCATCACTCTGCAGATCAGCTATAACAATGTTGGAAATTTTGGAGGAGAGGAGGATCAGGTATATGGTGCCAACCTGACATTAATTGTGAGCTTCTACACTGCAGTGAGTTTGTTGAAGAAGGTGTTTGCGAGCTGGCTGCTGTATCTGTGGCTATTAACTTTAACATCAAGCTGTTGGTAGTAGCAGCGTATAGACCACCGTCTGGTCATCTTGATACACTTCTAAAGTTCTAAACTTACTAGGTGAATGCTTGAATAATTATCATATGCGCCATGGTACTGGTACTACTATAATCATAGGAGACCTTATTGCATGTTTTGTTACTTCTCCAATCTGTGATGGTCTACATGTGGGAAATTACAATTATAAATTATAAAAAACAAGTCATAGTAAAATACTTTAAATAATTGTTTACAATATTTACACTGGTTCATGAAGGTAGAAGGTATAAAATAAAGGTTAACAATCATGTGTCAACAGGCCAGGATCTTGTTGAAGACGGCAGTGTCTAGGTTGCACGTGAAGGTTCCCCAAGGATGGAGTTGGGTAGAGTAATATCTTCTCAACACTTCCCTCACTTCACCGGGAGTGATTGGTGGGGATCCTTCCAGCTGTAACAATTTAGAACTATAAAAAAATTAAAATTTGCGAAGATCGGCTACAGTAAAGATAGCTACATGAAATACAACATAATAAATACCTGGGGCTTTTTTAGTCATGTCTGGTTTTAAATTAACACTAGAGGGACCTTTGTGATTCCGAATAAAAAAGATTGAAGTGTCTTCTTGCATGAATAAATCAATTCAGTTAATGGAGTATTCAATATAAGGTAAGTAATAAATAAATGGTATCAGAAATCTGACATATATTTTCTCCCATTAGCTTGTCAACAACCTTAATCATGGGTAAGCAATGAGAGTAACAATGATATTTAATCGGTAAGATCACAAAAGTTGCATTAACTTGTGAATCGTAATTTTTACAGGAATGGGGTTTGCACTATTTTGTAACGACAAGGACCATAACAGACGGACTTCAACCAGAACCGTTAAATCCATTCCTTTTTTCCTTAATTCCTTTTTTAAAATCCATTTTTCTGTTTTTTATGGGAAAATAACAATAGTTACAATACTTGTTGAACCGTAATTATTACAGCAATAGGGGTTGCACTATATTAGTAAGAATTATAAGGACCATCACATAACTAATTTCAATCAAAACCAAATTTTTTTCTGACATACAATTTTCTCTTATTTTATGGGAAAATTAAATAAGTTACAATAACTTTTGAACCCTAATTTTTACAGGAATGGGATTTCTACCATTTTGTTCACAATTTAAAGGGTTATAACATACTAAATGTGTATCAAAATCAGACTAAAGGTGTCTCGCCACTAATACACCACTAACCACTCCCCTCCACTCCACCTATCACTTGATTTTGAAGAGAAATCATGATTTTCCTAGTTCAGAAAAATATCGTAGTCCAGTTCCAAGCAAGACAAAAATTTATATCCAACAAGACGTGCTAACAATTACGCTCAAGATTAAATTTCCCACTATACAAATTACCCGCAACTCATGTCTACGCACAGGCCCCTGCCTATGTAGACCTTTTCCTTATAATTTGATAAGGTATTTTTTTTTTCTCTTTGTGCCATTTAGATATAGTATCCTTTTGTAATTATTTTTTTTTTAAGTTAAGGATTGTATAATAGTTATGTAAATACCATGAATTATACGAAGTAGTTGGGAAATAAAATATTATTTCATTTCATTTCACTCTACGGCAATAAACTAGTACTCAGACGACCTTTACACTACCACGGCTGGACGCCAACTGACCTAGTGGCCTGTGACGCGAATGGCGATGCTACCCCCTCCACTTTCCACGCAAGAAGCAAACGGAGCTTATTCAGAACTGCCCCTGAATGTGGGGGTATTCTTAAAATAAAAAAAGCCTTATCGGGAACAAACTTTCCATGTAGCGTATTAATTTATAGATTTTAAGTTTTTGATAACTGTTAAACTGATTTACATGGGTTTGGATTAGGTCTTCAAATATAGATGTTTTTAAAGTAAGAGATACTTTAATTGTGCATTTTTTAGATATGATATATTTACGCATGTATTTTACGGAAAGTAAATAAAATAAACGTCTTATAACACTTAAAACATATATTTACGCTTATACTGTTACTCACAAGACGGTAAATACACAAAAAAGATGGTAAGTGGTGATCGATTTTGATTGGACACTCCAATCATCATCAGACCCAATAGGCGAATCACCATTAAGTATGATGGGATCTGATTTGAGGGAGATTAACCTTTGCACCAAGTCATCAGATGCTGAAATATAAATTTGGTTTGTGCAAACATCCTCATAGTTAAGTGCAGTGCATTACAAAAACCACATTAAAGAACAATAGGCCACTACAAAACAACTAACAAGAGCACATTTTAGAGAAGGCTTTCGTGGGAATTCATGCACCTCCTACCCAATTCTTAGTCGAGTTCATCTTTCTGCATTATATTAGTTGATTCAGACTTATCATAAGAGAATTTACTTATCATAAATAAAAATGAATAACATTCTGTTGCAACAAAAAATGACTGTTATGTCTATTACCTGTCGCTGAGAGGTACCGAAGGTCTCGAATGAGAGTGTAGTGCGGTGCGCTCGACTGTAAGGGTCCAGTGGAGACACAGACGCATCTCGCCGTAGCAGCAGTGCAAGGTCTACAAGCTGAGCAACCGTCTCCTTCGCTAAGTACAGTAACATCTCCACACTGAATGATTTTAACTTGTGTACAGGACAGTCAGGTGCTAGAAGCCGCAACCAATCTAAAAACCTTCCGTTGTTTAACTTAGCACCCAAAAATGTGGCCCGCCTTGACACATTGTAATCTTCAAAGCTTCTGCAAAAATAAATCAAAAACTCAGGTGACAAATTGCTTTACACATTTTAAGTAAGAAAATGTTTTAGCCAAAATACCATCTACAATATCTCCGTCTATTTTTTGTGATGCCATTAATCAGGAGTCGGCAAACTTATGAACAGTTGGGTTACAGTATATACAATTAATTCACGGCAACATTTTTGTAGGAATAGGTCCTTTTACTTCATGAACTTCTAATATAATTTATTGAACAAAACTTAAGAATCTGCAATAAATCTTTATGCATTATATTTAAAATTTCAACTCTTTTTATTTATAGTTCAAATTTCATTCCACCAAATTTAATTAACTTTCAGAATACACTCATATTTGGGTTAAAATACATACCTACCCTAGGTGGCGTCCCCACCTCAATATTTGATAATAGATAATAATAAATTTTTTTTTTTTAGTTCTAGCCGGTCAGTCTATAGCTATACAACTTGTATTTAATGTACGTTAGTTCAATTACAAAAATGTCTGTTCACATAAGTAAAGTCGTGATTGGTAGACCAATTCCTTTAAGATTGTTAGTAAATGTATCAGGAAAGTGTAACTTAATTGCTTAGAACTATCTTCAGTGTTAACTGTATCCACACCAAAATAAAAATCTTCTCCAGATACTTGTTCAAGTTTTGTGTTGTTTATCTCAAAGCAATCATTCTTTACTGGGCAATAAACTTTTGGTGAAATCACTAAAGACGATTGCTTTACTCCCGCGATCACAGCATATCGTGATCATCTCCCTCGGTCGCTAAAACGATCATCTTCCGTGCAATTGCAAGAGATGAAGCCATAAAAAAACAAATATCAATTTGTAGACAGTTTTGTTGCATTGTTTATGACCCAGCTATCAGGACTGAGGAACAATAACCGTCCAAGGTCTATGCCAGTGGTGCTACACCTATTTTACTACGTCAGTGCCGTCTTGGAGTGTAACCGAGGGCTTGAAAAAAAAAAACCCCTATGCTGTAGTTGGCCGGCCCCTGACCTATTTGGCTGATCAAACAGTTCTACCCTGTGTTGTAGAGTTTGTTCACCTGCTGAGAGTTGACCAATGATCACTGACAATGTGGCATTATTGTATTACAGTTATAATTTTCAGTGATTGATTCAGGTTCAGAGCCCCAGCCTATATTGCTGTGCTCCATTTGGGTAGAACATATAACTTCATAGCAAATTTCCCTACAAGGAAGTAGCTATTACCATAAGAGGCACGACCTGACCCAGGACCGATTTAATTTTTTCATTTTGATGTCTACAGACTCTAAAAACACTACAGTTCAAATTTTAATAAATATAATATATGTGTGTTCCTGAACAAATATATCTCTGCAATATCTCAAGTTATTTTGGTCCGATTTTATAAAATTTGACTTGAAGGTGTAGGGAGGGATAAATTTGGATGAGTTTGTGAACCAGAAAGATTGGGTCATTGGAACAGAGTATTATTGGTTCAATCATTGTTTTTTTCAAATTTTTACACTTAAAACATGAGAATGCCCAATTTTAGCAAATTTCCTTATAGGGAAGTAGCTATTACCATAGCTGGCACTGTAAGACGTAGGCCCGGGACCAATTTACTTTTTCATTTTGATGTCCCCAGAGGCCAAAAACACCATTCGTTCCAATTTTTATATACTTGTTAAGTAGTGGATACATAGGGCTGCTGAGGAGTGACGTCACAAGAGCCATGTGGTGCTTAATTGACGGTTAAGCATCTGGTGGTAATGGTGCGTGACCTAGCACGTGGTGTGGTGGGTTACGGTATGGTGACGTCATGATGACGACATGCTGAGGTGTGAAAGTTAGGTGGATCGATATTTTCAAGGTTATTGTTGTGGTTTAAAAAAAAACAGCATATCGGTAAAGGGATAAGTACCGATATGCTGATTTTTAAATTCTTTATTGAAAAATCAAAATTGACATACGAGGAATATAATTGTTTTCAAACTTAAACCTAATACAGATCTAAGCTAAACTAAACATTTGGATCATAGAGTTAGGTCTACTACAGTAACAACAGTTGTCAAATTGTCATCCACACATGTCGCAAGCGAAACAGTGTTTGCATTGGTAAGAAGAGTAAATTACGATTTTTTTGTCCATGCATATTATACACTCAAAGTTTGCTTCTTTTATTGGAAACATAGTAGGAATTTTGTTAAATTTGAGAAATTAGCTATATATACGACATAAAACTGTTGGAGATAACTATTTGTACATGTTACCTTTGCAATGTTTGCGATATAATTTGTTGTTAATGAGATGTTGTCTTTAGCTAGTTCCACTACAGACTAATGAGAGACCCATCATACACATTCTTTTATGCTGTTTATGATTGCTATCTGGTATACAGCAAACATTCGCAATTGAAATATTTCCACTTTTGTCTTTGCATTTTATAAGATCGTCAAGTGAAAAGTTTGTTATTATGTACATATTACGAAAAGTGTTTGGATTTTGGTTTGCAATGTTTCTGTGAGAAAACTTATTAAAAACCACTATTTTATTATGTCACCATTATAAACATAAATTCAGAACTAAACTAAAATATCACTTTAATCCTGCAAGGTGTATCAGCTATTTAACTGGTATGGAAAAGTAATGTACACAGTGTTTCTACTTCTTCGTGAACAGTTGGCGGTACATGCGGGCAGAGCATTGTTCCACTAATTACAACCATGTGCCACATTTGCAACATAGGGCTAGTACCTTATATTTCTAAGACTTGTTTATTCATTCAAATCGTTATGTTTTTGAATGATTTTTAAAATAACAAACATTTGGTATATTGCACATTGCTTAATGTTAGACGTACAAACGATCAAGCTATATAAAAACAAATTTCCCACTCTTTACCCTGTAATTTACTATTTATTTAAAGCAAATGTTAACTCTCATTAAATACTCTTGGTTGTATTGTAATCCAACGTATTTCTGTTTATCGTTTGTCCTTTTGTGAAACTGTTTAAATGTTTTTTTATTGCTATTTGTAGTACAGAAAACTATTCAATTTAACTAATTTCACTGTTAAATATGTTCAAATGTTAGGTAAGGCTTCTTTCACCGTCAACCAGTCTTTCTAGTATATCCATCAATTCCTTGCTAAATATGGATCTTTTTACACTAGATGATATTATATTTATTTGTTCTGGAATGTCTTGATGTAATGCTCTATTGTAGCTCAGATAAGGAATATTATCTGTAGTGGATGAAATAGTGTTATCTTGTATGTTGTTATTATTTAACTTTGAATTGTTGGATTCCATTTGTCTGTCTCTAGTGAAACCACTTTATGCGAGTTTACCAATCAAACAATATAGATGTATTGTTACATGTATTGTATAAACAACCAAGGTGTACAAAATAAAATCCCTTCCTTCAATACTGTTATCTACAATTAATTTTAAAGCAAATTAGCGTTTTTTAGCAAACAATCTTTTACATTATATAAACTTACTGCGAGATATTTATATTAACACTATCACGTAAGCTACATCGTGTCATCAAGAGGTTGTGTACAATCCCTAACAAAATTGTTGACTTGCAAATTGTTTGTTATTTTAAAACCAATTCGGAAAAATATCCTTTTAATTCAAATGAAAACAAAATGAATTGACAAAGCGTGTAGACCAAAACTAATACGGTTACTGGTAATTTCATTGTTTCAACGGTAGCTTCTCCAGTTAGTGAAGATCCCTGTAACACCCGCATGTGTTTCAACGGTTCGTTCTTCGTGATGTTCCAATCCAGAGAGCTGAAACGTTCAATCACCCCACTGTCATTGAGAAAATACTCTTTACTTGGTTCTTTTACGTTGAAGTAAAACACATCGCAGCAAGCTAGATCTTTAAAGTTTTGTATTCAGAACGTTTCTATCTGGAACATTATAAGGTAAAACTATTTGACCATTGCAAACATTCATTAGTTAATTGTTAAATAGTGAAAGGATAGAAATACGTGGTCTATATGTTAAATCCAATGATTAAACTTAAAAAGCTTTATAGATCTAGATCTATGAGGCATTGTCCTAAGGTAAGCCTACAGTTGAAAGTTACTTCCCACAATGGTTAAAAGTATTTAAAGTACTACCTCAACCTCACAATTCACTTTATTAGGGTTGACATTTTCATTATCAAGGTGCTCTTGTCCTTTTCGTGACATTGAAAAATAAGGAAATTATTGCGTTACCAACAGACATACACACAAAAATACAGAACTTAGTGAGAGAATTTGCTACGTTTAAAGCATAACAAAGTATATATAAAATTTAGGCAAAATAGGCCACGAACTATTGATACATAAATAACGTAAATCGTAAACGATTCATGATGGTTTTCTGAACAAATGTGTTACTTAAATGAGTTATCATTTTCTTAGCATTAACTAACAATTTGGAATCTAGATATAAAAAGCAAAACTTATACAGTTAAGACATCAATTAAAATTGAATACGGTTGTAATACGACTGTATAAAATAAGGTGCAACACCGATGATAACTAATTTTTAAATTACAGTGATGTGTTGGTACGTAAAAATTATTCTTGCTGCTACCAACGATTATAAGGAAAAGAACAAGTACCAAAAACCAACGTTTATAGTTAAGAATTACGACCGACAAATGAAATGCGTTAATCAAGTCTCAAGGTTAGTAAATTCTTGGTTTCGGATTTTCTCGTAAAAGGTTATCAGCAAACAAAGTTATTTCCTATTAATTGCTTTATTCGTAAACAACTTTTAATGTAAACTTATTGATGTCAGTTTGAAAAAACCTTATACAAACAACTGTTTGTTATTTAATAGACTATGTATGTATGCATATTCTCTAAACAATGATTGGTATGTCTTTAAACATCAGAATGAAATATGACAAAAATCACAAAATGCTGGGTTTTTGGACGTTTGTAATTTAATTTCTTAAGTAGGGAGGCCGTGTATACTAGGGAAAAGTACCGGTATCAAGGATTGTCGTCGAAAAGGTTATTATGAATAATTTGGTACGCGTAAGTACCCGAGAGATATTGGTTATGGGCCTAATGGTTGTATGGTGCAGCGATTGCATCATACGGTGAGTATGAACAGAAATGACTAAACAGTTAAGGGTCCGCCAGTTCCTCCAAGTTTGATTGATAAACTTCAACCCGCATTATAGTTCTATCTTTGTCTAAAACCGTTGGCACATGTGCAACGGCCATTTTTCGCAATGGTCATTGTTTGGTTGTTCATTTGTCCAGCTTTTGCAGTGGTCATTGTTTGTCGTTAGTTTGTCCAGCGTATTCCAGTAACCGTTGTTTATGAGTGTATGATAAAACTATATTTTATTATTTATATTGTTTTGTAATTATCATTTTACTATGTTCTTTTAATAATTGTTTTTAATTATTTATAGTCAGTTTATAATAAACAGTGTAAAGCAAAGTTATATAGTTAATTTGTTTGGAGATAGATTCAATTGTATACTTCAGTTTATAATTTCTGCAGTTCTCCAGACATTTCATTAACACAGGTAAATATTTGTTGTATATAAATAGACATAAGTTTAATAGTTAGATTTTCTTTTTTTTGCTAGAAGCTTTAATATTAAGGTTGGTTATTATTTATTCTACACAATCTAAATGTTATTATTATTATTGCAATGCAAATTTATATTTGAGTAACGAGCTTTTCACATGTTTATTTTTTGTAGCTCTATTCCCTCCTACTGAGTGAAGGTGATTTCTACGAAACACTACTCCTCCATTAATAATGAACGATTTTTTTACAAACGAAGTATCAAAATTAAGAATTTTTTGTGTAGACGCCCTATTTTACCAATTCCTGTAATAAAAGTGCTCAGGCTTAACCCCCACAGGTTATCAAAATCTCAATGTATTTCTTATGAAGAAAATATTATGTTTACTTAAACAGACGAATAATTTGTAATAACTAGCGCAAATGTTGCTCGAAATCGAGCAATTGCAAAGAAGTAAAGTAGTTACAGTATTTTAAAACAAATAACTTATTTAAAAACGAATAAAAGTTATAATTTCCGATGAGTTTAAAAAGACTCAACTCATAGAT